TAGCCGTGAGCCACCACACCTGGCCAAAGATGTGTATTAGAAAAACTATTTCTTATAAAAAGATGTATTCAGTGGTACTATGCCAGTCAAGAATCTTGTATTATTTTCTAGCTTTCAAGAATATGTATAATATCATAAAAAGGAGGCAAGAATATGTAAAATACATATGAAGCTCACGAGGAATGAAGAAAGTTATTTTAGGAAGAAAAAATTGCTACCATAAAGAAATACGGAACACACTAGCAATACATGTAAGAATGAGAGCAAAGGTCTTAGACGTCCATGAGCTGGGAATGCTTGTGCTGGGAGCTTCAGTAACAACAGCATGGGAAGTGAAATAGACTAGGCAAGCTGTTACACCAGGTGATAGTATTTACTATTATTATTATTATTATTTGATTGTGGTGAACATGATGAAATAATTCAATGGTAGGAAAAAAAAATCTGGCCTACAAGTGAAGATGAAAGGTAAAAGTAAATATTTAGAAAGTAAAATCTGGAGGGAAAAAAAGCTCCAGTATCTCACCATGGCGTCTTCCAAAGCCAGCAATGCTGGAGATGTTTATTGTCGAGGATGGACTTGCTTGGGTTGGGATTCTGTAACTAGAGCCAGAGCGGAGCTTCTCTGCCGCCTTCAAGGACACAACAAGAGGGGCTTTCTGCCTTTCTTATAAAGCCCGCCACATTTGGTGCCTGTATGGTTGTATTTACTGGAGTCTATCATAAGGCTGATGAAGGAAGGGCTGGATCTTTCTCATATCCACGTGATTAATGGCCTGGAGTGCTGTAGGCATTTAATAACTCACTGAGTGGATGAATGAACCCTGTGGAAGAATGAGAGCCTTTCTGATCTTGAGGTCTCAGTTTGGACGATATTTCTGGAGGGGATAGATGAATATGTATTTCAGCAGCACTCTAATAAGCCCGCATTGGGTGACTAAGCAGAAAAGTGATTCATTTTGCTAGAATTTTCCCACCTGCCGGAGCCAGTCCCCCTGGTGTTCCCATTCCGCTTCCCCTCAGTCATCTCAGCAGGAAATTACTATCCTGTCTCCTACCCGGGTGATGAATGTTCAAGGCATTTCAGCAGACTGTGGCAAGGCCCGGAACGGGATCAAGTAAAAGTAAATACCAGCCCTTATTAGGAGATCCTGGCCCTTCTGGTGCGTGTGTTCCAGTACACATGTGGCTTCCTGCTCTGTCATAGAAAGCAGGCTTTTAGGGCCCCCGCTTCCAGTGACGGTTTCCTGACCTCCAGGAACTTCTGTAGCCAGGCACCACTCCCTTCCTCACGCCCCACACCCGACTGTTCCAGGAGGATTTCATCACTGTGCACTGACGCTCACTGTGACCTCGCGTGTGGCCACAGGAGGAACTCGGCCGAGGCCTGAGAAGACCAGATAATGACATAGAGGGCTCACTTCAGGAAACCCAGGGAGCTGCAGCCGCTCCTCCAGGGTCATTCCACACATTAATTTTCTAACAAGTCATAAGTCAAAGAGTGACACCAGGAGTGGCCAGCCTGGTGCCCAGGTACAAGCCACAGCAACAGATTCTGATTTTCCAGAACAGCCGTGGTCTTTAGCTGGTGTTGGATATGGTGCTGTTAGCTGGAGAGGGAGGAGACTCATATTGTATATTTGTTCAGTGACTCCAAAGATTTTAAATTATATTGTGATTTTTATTATTTTAGTCTACTTTTTCGTGGAGACAGGGGTCTCACTCTATCTCCCAGGCTGGAGTGCAATGGTATGATCATAGCTCACTGTAGCCTCGAGCTCCTGGGCTCAAGTAATCCTCCCACTTCAGCCTCCTGAGTAGCTGGGACTCCAGCTGCGTGCCACCACGCCTGGCTAATTTTTGTTTAAGTGGAGATGAAGTCTGGCTATGTTGCCCAAGCTGGTCTTGAACTCCCGGCCTGAAACAATCCTCCTACCTTGGCTTCCAAAAGTGCTGGGATTATAAGTTTGAGCCACTGTGCCAGGCCCTGGTTTTTATTTAATGGCTATTAAATGCTCAGAAGTGAATTAAGGTTTCAGTTAAATGCACAATTTTTAAACCAAACTATTTTCTTTGCTAATTCACTTCTATCTGCATCTACCGGCTGTAAACTGCCTGAAGCAGAGAAAGCTTTGTTAGCTTGGGGCTCCCTGTAGCCTCGAACTGAGTGCCTTATGTGGCATTGGGCGAATGAATGAATTTGTTGGATGAACTACTTCCGGGTTTAGAATCCGCAGGGGGTAAGACAGGACAGATCGTGAAGGAGGCTGACCTCCTCAGCTACTCTACCATTTCATGTTCTGTTTGGGCACCTCCGTCACCCCTCACCTCCTCGGATAGTCTAGTCTGTCTGGGCCTGGACTGCCTAGCCACCCTCTTATCCCTAAGCCAAGGCCTTCGCTGACTGAAGTCCAGAGTAAAGTGGCCTTTACTGAGGCCCTTCTGAGGAATAGAAAGCATGCTCTTCAGTACCCATTTTTCTTAACTGAAGTACAACCAAATTATACACAGGCCCAGCAGAGTGGCACAAGCCTGTAGTCACAGCTACTTGGGAAGCTGAGGTGGGAGGATTGATTGAGCCCAGGAGTTTGAGTCTAGCCTGGGCAACACATGTGTATAAGTCTATGAGTCTGGAAGAATGCCTATAGCCAGGCAATCACCCTACAGTCAAAACACAGGGTATTTCCATGATCCCAAAAAGCTCCCGCCTGCCCCTCTGCAGTGAAACACTTCCCCTTACCCCAGCTCCCAGCAACCATTGATCTGAACTGTAGACGTGAATGTCATTCAGAACTCATTTCATCTGGACCCTGCTTCCTGTGTCAATACCGCTGCAAGCAGCATCTGAGGGAGTTTTCTGGATGTTCTCTGCCACTCTGCTGCTGCTTCCTTCCCATCTCCTGCAAGGCCCCCACTGCGAGGAGTCAGCTGTGTGAACGTGGGTGTTTCAAGGGTGTCTTCCTTTACTCTGTTCTCAATGATTTCCTGCTATCACTGCGTCTCTCGTTTAATGACTGCCTTCACCCATATCCTTAAACCCACCAGGCCGACCTTCCTGTCCCTTTCTTTGGAGTGCTGTGTCTGTATCTCCAGTGGCGGCACAGACTGTTCCTTAGATCCTGATAATTCTCCGAGCTCTCTGTCCAAGCCAGGCTCATTTCTGGCCCTGCCAATCTGCCTCCTCCCATGTCATTTACATAACCAATGGCACCACCATCCAGAGTGACCAAGCTAGAACAGTCCCTCCCTCCGGCCCCCACGGTAGGAGGCTACTTTTGGAGTACACCTGCAATTGACCTCCACTCTCCGTACCTACGTCTGTGGCCAAAGTACCGACCCTGATTGCCTCTGGCCCCAGCTGAATTAACCCACCTTGCTGGGCCTAGTTCTCTTTTCACTAAACATTCTCCAAAATGCTGCCACAGCTATTTTTCTAAAATACACATAAGACCATATTCTTCTCCTTATTAAAAACAAAAACAAAAACAAAAAAAAACAAAAAACAAGAAACACCAAGAAACAAACAAAAAAAACCCACCCTATACTGGCTCCCGAGCGTGTCCGAGATCAGACTCAAGTTCTATGCGATGGTCTTCAAGACCCTTGGCCGTGTGGTCCCATCCTGCTATCCCCACTCCCACTCCCAATCGCATTCCCCAGCCTCCCTACCTCATGCAACTTCAGCCACACTGGCCCACCCCACCCCAGGGGAGGATGCCATGTATTAGTACTTTGGTGCCTTTGAGTCAAAACTCATTCTGTTTTGCCAGTTCAGAGGTTGAGCCCTTTTTGAAGTATTCTTGACTCCCCTCTTCCTCCATATCCCAGGTAAATTCTGTCCCAGGCATAATGAGCTGTTACCTCACAGGCTCTGAGGGCACTCAGAATGCCAACACAGTGCTCTCCAGGCACCTCTGTGCTGTTCAAACCTATGCATCTTACACCTGCTCTTCTTAAAATCTCTGTGCCTCACACGCAGGAAGAATTCAAGAAATGCAGATTGAAAAAACATGGGTCCAGGAGTAGATGAAGTATGTAAACATCAAGGCAAGAATCTGTACTTTTCGTCTATTTATTGTTTGTGTGCACAATAGAGCCACATGGTTTATTACAAAAAATTATTATAATGTATGCTGTTTGGGCTCAGATCACTTTGTGATGATGATGATGATGATGATGATGATGGGTTAGAATTTTTTTTTTCTTTGTTTGCCATGGGATCTGCCAGGTTTTAAGAATTTCTTTTTGTTCTAAATCAAATTCAGGAGCACTCCCATGACAAGAGGTCAAATTTAGGCCACTGATGGTACCAACGGAAGGCTACCACTGTGTAGCTATAATGAAGCAGTTTATGAATAAAGCCCATCATCATGGATTTTAAGCACTTTGATAAGCTTTTATTTCTCTGCTCATCTCCTTTACCCCTACAGATAACACAAAATAACAGAATAATCATCCAACAGTAACGCCGCAATCCCATCACAACAACGTGGAAAATGAGAATTCATGTGATTTGCTAATTTCCTAAGTCAGAGCTTCCCACCTGATGTGCTGGGGAAGTGGGAGAGGGTGAGGACTGCTTTCCCCAGCCCTTGGGGTGACTGGGCTGATCTCGCCTGGCATGAGCAGTCAACTCCACCATGGTACAACATCATTTTGAGTGCCATGTTTGATAAAGGTTGACAACCACTGTCCTAAGCCATGCTACCATTTAAATAACAGACTGAATTCTCCCAAGTGATGTTCTTATTTGCCTTAGGAAGGAAATTAATATTATGACTCTAAGGATCCTGAACACACGATCTAAGAAAAGAAAAACCCAAACCACAATGGCAAAGGTAGGTGAGACAGAGTGTTTAGAAAAACAGCAAATACTGTGCTATTAATTACTCCCAAATTCTCCCTAACACATGATTTTTAAAGAGTAGGCAGAGCATAATGATTTGAGGAACACAGCCATGCGGAATGGGAAGGGTTTTTAGAAAATGTGACTCACTCACCGTTCCAACCAAAGGGTAAATGAACCCAGCGCCTATGCTGGCTCGGACATCACTGATGGGTAAGATGAAGTCTCTTGGCACACCTTTTTTGTCAGGTTGGTGAGACAGAGAAAGGTGGGTCTTTGCCATGCAGATGGGCAAATTTCCAAAACCCTGTAAGAAAGGAAAGAAAATGTGTTCACTGGAATGTTAAGTCTCCTGTGTTTTTCAATTCGCACTTTACACAGTCTCAGCAGCAATGGTACGCCGGCTCAGATCGGGGCACACGCAGGGACTGCTTGTTACTCCTTGTTCACTGAACAAGCAAGAAGGTGAGGATAAAAACCCATCTCTATGCGATCACTGTTTAGCAGGTCAAGGGCGACTACTGTTTGTTTTGGAGGTTCTCTTTAAGAGAAGGCAGTGTTATGTGCATGTTTGGGGAAAGCGTGGCTATTTTCAGGCAAGGCAGCAGCTGTAGAAACCACTTTCCAAGACTATTAATATCCGAGACCCAGCAAGGTAGTCTGGAGAGAGGCGAGGCTTTTAGTCATGTTGTTCACTCGCTCTTGCAGTCGGTCAGGAAGCAAAGGGCCCCTTTGTGTTGGTTTATGAATCATGGCTATTTGATGTGCGATTACATTATAAGAACTAAGATGATGAAGTCACTATTTAAGCTTCTTGTTTTTAAGGACCAAAGTCTATGTCTGACCCAGAGTTCCAAAGGTGAAAGAGCAGGAAGTCACATGTGGTGTCTCACAAAAAGGACAGTGTCCTCGAAGCCTGGTTCTGATTAAATGGCACATAATGTTCCTTTAGAGGCTTTGCTAATTCATTACAACCACATACTTGACACTAACTGTTTTAAAAAATAAAAATAGAGATGAGAGTTTTGCGATGTTGCCCAGCGTGGTCTCAAACTCCTGGCTTCAAGTGATCCTCCTGCTTCAGCCTCCCAAAGTGCTGGGATTATAGGCATGAGCACCGCGCCCAATTGACACAACTTTTAAGGACTATTTCCTTGATAGAGAGAGATAAAGGGAATGCAATCTTCAGAGTAACCCAGGTCAAATTTTCCTAAGATTTAGCCTAAAACTATCTTAGAGTCTTAACAACTCAGGGAAGGCGTGGGCTTGTGACCATTTTCTTTTTGAAATCTCCACTCTCCTATACTAATGAGAATTTTGCTAGAGGACAATCACAACTGCCTTTCAGAAATGGTGCCAGAATTTTGAATTTCAGACATGGTTAAATATTGAAATACTTTCAATGAATTAATATATGTTTGCTAATGTAAAAATTTTGTCAGTAGGCATATTAAAAAGAAACAAACAAAAACCAACCAATATGCCATATACTATCACCAGATTACTCCATAAAGGAAATAACATTTTAACACTGAAAGGAGAAAGGACGTATTAAATGATAGCCTTAAATTTCATTGCTAAAAACTCATGGGAACAACAAAAAAAAACTAACCTCATGAGAATGACCTGATTTTACTTGGTTCATTGCACCTGAATGAACACCACAATGCTAGTGCACAGAGCAGTGCCTGGGAATCCTTTTTGTAAAGGATAAGCCAAGAACATACAGGGAAAATTCTAAGAATAGAATTTTCTCAGTTGTTGACTATTTTAACAAACCTAGGAGAATAAATACCCTGGCTGATAATGGTAGCATGTAACAAAATTTCAAATTGGTTTACAAAAAAGCATAAGGAGTTAGGGAATTTTTTTTAAAAAAAAGGCCAACACTACCCATCATGAATTTCTCTAGCCAGCAGGCTCTTAACGTGTTCTGACTGATTACACCAAAGTCGGGGGGACACTCGAGGCATATAGTCCTTTTGGTGAAGGTGGCGCTGAGCCTCCTGGAATGGAGTTGATTGATTGTGACTGTCATTGGTCTAGATGGTGACACATGCTGTCAGATCACAGCCACCTTCTCAGCTGCTCGCCTACTTGCCTTTGTCAGTGGCTGGAGGTAGAAGATGATAGAGCCTTCAAGCTCAGTGGGCAAGCTCAGTAAAAAGCCAACGAACCACTTGCATAAGAAGAACACCAAACATTCCCATCTTTACAGGCTGCACTCCTGTTTGCCGACCCTGGCACCATGCTATTTTTTTAAGGTGGTAACAGGCCTGCAAGGAAAAGTACGCATTGCAAGTCATCTAAATCTGACTCTGCAGCTATTCTCCAAAGGACAGTTTCAACGTTTTGGGCTGAGTGGGAGGGAAAAAAGATCACACATCACCTACAAACAGAGGTACCACTCATATCAGACACATTTATAGTCACAGAAGTCAATGATGCATAGATTGGAGGATATATGCCTCACCATAAAGTTCTAAATGTAATCTACACTCTACCCAAGGATACTACTTTAATCTTTGTTAACCATAAAATAGATTAAGCAAAGGTGAGTGCTGGCGAGACAGGCACAAATCCTCAAGTCAAGCTGAGTATTATGAGAGCCTAAGGTGGGTGTTTTCCCCCGAAAGTACAACTTTTACCTGTTGAGTATAACGATCTATTTTGGCTTGTGCCTCAGGAGAGAGTTCAATATCTTTGGCTCCATAGACAGCCTGGGCAATGGTTCTTATCTTTTCCACAATTGGAAGCTGGAGAAACACAAATGATAAGAAAATTGTGTAAGTTTAATCATGGTTAAAGATTTTTTTTAAAGTTTAAAGAGACTTTCTGTAATTGCTTAAAATTCCCTATCAGGATACCCCTTCAGCGACTGCAGAATTCCTAGCACACCCTCTTTTTTCCTTTTATCACCCTTAAAGCACTGAAATTGTCAGTGTCAGAAATAGATCAGATGTCAACTAGCAAACAAGCTTTAGGTATTCAGGCAATTTAGAGGCTGCTTATCTAGTTGTAACCATTTTTATCCATTGCAGCATTTTAAAAAATGTAGTTTACTATAATCTCTTTCTTTCTTTTTTTTTTTCTTTTGAGACAGAGTATCACTCTGTCGCCTAGGCTGGAGTGCAGTGGCATGATCTCAGCTCACTGCAGCCTCATCCCCTCAGGCTCAAGTGATCCTCCCATCACAGCCTCCTGAGTAGCTGGGACTACCGGGGTTCACCATCACACCAGGCTGATTTTTTTTTTTTTCGTTTTTTGTAGAGACTGGGTTTCACCATGTTGCTCAGGCTGGTCTTGAACTCCTGGGCTCAACAACCTGTCCATCTCGGCCTCCCAAAGTGCTGGGATTACAGGCATGAGCCATCACGCCTGGCCTGTTTACTATGGTTTTTTTTTTTAATAATCATATATATCAGGACAGGAGTCTCCCAGCAATACTAAAAAACAAGTATTTTTTTTGTGAACAGTAATGGGCTGATGTGATCAAATACTATATCGGAAAATCAGAGGCTGAACCTACTGTCACTTTAGCAAATTATGAGAAATCACGTGGCATGGAAGAAACATGAGAAGACTAGATACAGGCAAATAAGTGTGTTGGGGGAGATGATTTCCATAATGTTAGACTGAAAACCTGGACACAGACTGCCGGTGGCATACGGCAAGGGATCTTCAGAAACAAGAATGATTCATTAGGAAAGGAATATTCCACAGATAAAGTAATTCTAAATTTAAGAAACACATTTGACAAAATTTTCCATAATTTTTCTGTGGGTAGAAATGCATATGAGGCCAGGTGCAGTGGCTCATGCCTGTAATCCCAGCACTTTGGGAGGCTGAGGTGGGTGGATCACTTGAGGTCAGGTGTTCAAGACCAACCTGGGAAATATGGTGAAACCACGTCTCTCCTAAAGCTACAAACATTAGCTGGGCATGGTGGCACATGTCTGTAATCTCAGCTACTTGGGAGGCTGAGGCAGGAGAATAGTTTGACCCTGAGAGGCGCAGGTTGCAGTGAGCCGAGATTGCGCCACTGCACTCCAGGCCTGGGTGACAGAGCAAGACTGTCTCAAAATAAATAAACAAATAAGCATATGCATGATGCAATTACTGGATTTACTATTTGGTGAACAACTAACTGCTAAACCAAATGCTGATAGAACAGATGTCAACGAAGGGGCAGAAGTCTCCTGTAGTGTGCCTTAAGGACTGCTTGGCAATGTCAAGTGTCACATTTGTATAAAATACTGTTGATACAAGAGTTACCCAACAAGAGAAAATAAATAAAAGCTAGCACACTGTTCCCCCAAAACTGCTTCAAAACCTGTTTTCCATTACTACAGTTTTTATTACTGTAGGCTTGTTCTGTGGTCTGGAACTTAAATATTGGATATTCCAACAAATAAAAAAGAAGTGAAGGTGCAAGCCTTAAAACCTTTCACTGAGGGACATAAAAAGAGTCTGAGTCAATGGAGAAAAACAGTTTGCTTGTGGATGAGGAGACTTAATACTGCACAGACATCACTTCTCTGAAACTTACTCAGTTCAATGCAATTCCAAGATAATTTTTGGTTACTTGGCCAACTAGTTCTAAACCTCACAACAAAGGGTTGATCTCATTTGGATGTTAGTCCCCTCTAAATCTAATGGTGCTATGTAATCCGCAATGTTGGAGGTGGGGCCTGGTGGGAGGTGTTTGGGTCATGGGGGCAAATCCCTCAAGAATGGCTTGGTGCTGTCCCCGTGATAATGAGTTCTCATTCTCAGTTCTCGAGAGATCTGCTTGTTTAAATGAGTGTGGCACTTCCCACTCCCTCTCTTGCTCCTCCTCTTGCCAGGTAATACACTGGCTTCCCCTTCCTCTTCTGCCCTGAGTGAAAGCTTCCTGCGGCCCTCACCAGAAGCCCAGCAGATGCTGGTGCCATGCCTCTACAGCCTTGAGAACCATGAGCCAAAATAAACTATTTTTCCTTATGCATTAACTAGTCTTGGGATTCCTTTACAGCAACTCAAGAGTGAACTAACACAGGGTAATGGCATAACTAGTCAGATAACTTTAAAAATAAACAAAACCAAAAGAACAAAGAAAGAGGACTCTTCTACTAGCTATCAATCATACCACAAAACTATGCTAATAAATTCCATGAGTATAGACAAATTAATCAATGGAAAAAGAAGACCCACAAAGATACCTCAGCATGTGCAGGATAGAATATAATAGAGGTGACACGAACCAACAGAGAAAGGCTGACTACCATCTGACTTTTGGCTGGAGAGAAATGAAATTAGATTCCTACCACATACCAGGCCTCCAAATAAACTCAATGTGGAACAAAGGCATAAACTTGAAAACTATAATTATAATATTGGAAGAAAACAGTGGGAACGCTATTATCCTCAAGTAGAAGAGGATTTCTTAAATGAGGTAATGACAGAATAACCCATAAAGGAAATGATGTATAGATTCCACTACAGCACAATTTAAAACTTGTTTTAAGATTTTATAAGCAAGCTCAAAAAATGAGACAGACTGGGAGAAGACATATGCAAGTATTTATTAAGCCAAAAGATTATTAATCTTCAAAGACCAAGCTTTGTTAAAACTCTCTGAGCTCTCTAAGATCTATCCCCAAGGCCACCTCCTCCACGAAGCCTTCATGGATGACCCTTAGGCACATGTGAGCATCCTCTTCTCGGACATCTAGATGCCCTTTTGGAGCTCCTACCTGTGACTTCAGAGGACAAGGATTCACTGGGGCCTGACTGAGTGGTTGCCAGTAAAAACTCATGCAATCTTGGGCTGTATAGAGCCCGAGTAGGGACTGTGACAGGAGACTCAGCAGCACCACAGACACTGAAATCTCTTGGAGGGTAAGGGGCCTTTTGTAAACCATGCCACGTAACAAATCGAAAGGAAGCAGAATGTGAACCAAGGGACAAAAGTTAGAAGGAAGTAGTTTTGAGTGCAGTGTTTAAGGAAGAACTATAATAACAGAGCTCTCTCACTCAGCAGTGACCTGTCCTTGCCTGGAGGGTTCTGTATAAGGAGGTATATGGTACCGGGAACGTTGTACAAAGGGTTACTGCCTGAGTGCAAAGCTGAGGCTGGGTTACAGAGAGAAATTTAAGGGTAATTTCTTCTTTTTTTAATTTTTGGTAGAGACGGGGTCTCACCATGTTGCCCAGACTGGTCTCAAACTCCTGGCCTCCAGCGACTTTCTAGCATTGACCACCTGAGCTGCTGGGATTACAGGCGTACCCACACAGGTTAACTTCTAATGTGAAAGATTCACTGCTCATGTTAGCTGAAGAATCAAGAATGGCTGCTAAACTCTTTGAGACTCAGGACCACCTCTTATCTAGATCATGAGCAGCCTACGCACCCAAGTGCTTGCTCCCGACACTGTACTGAAACTGACAAGAGCTCCACTGCTGGTCGGCCAATGCCTTGCAAGGAGCAACGTTTTCTTTTCTTTTTTTTTCTTTTTTTTTTTTTGAGGAGTCTTGCTCTGTCACTCAGGCTGGAGTGCAATGGCGAGATCTTGGCTCACTGCTGCAAACTCCGCCTCCTGGTTCAAGCGATTCTCCTGCCTTAGCCTCCCAAGTAGCTGGGAATAAAGACGTGCCACCACACCTGGCTCATTTTGTATTTTTAGTAGAGGTGGGGTTTCACCATGTTGGTCAGGCTAGTCTGAACTCCTGAACTCAGGTGAACCACCTGCCTCGGCCTCCCAAAGTGCTGGGATTACCGGCATGACCCACTGTGACCAGCCTGAAATATCTATTTTTAAGAACTTTAATTTTGGTAAAATACACATAGCATGTAATTTACCATCTTCTTTTCTTTTTTGTGACCCAGAGTCTCATTTGGGAGTTCAGTACTGTGATCACAGCTCACTGCAGCTTCAACCTCCTGGGCTCAAGTGATCCTTCTACCTACTGAGTAGCTATGACTACAGGTGCATGCCACCAGCTAATTTCCAAAATTTTTGTGAGATGCAGGTCTTGCTATGTTGCCCAGGCTGGTCTTGAACTCCTGAACTCACGCGATGTGCCTACCTCAGGCTCACAAAGTACTGGGTTTATAGCCGTAAGCTACAATGCCTGGCTTGATTTACCATTTTAATCATTTCTAAGTGTACAATTCAGTAGTGTTAAGTCCATTTACAGTGCTGTGCAACCAACCTCGAGAACTCTCGCTATTTAGCAAAACCGAAACTCTACCCATTAGCAGCAATTGTCCATGCCCCTGCCCTCAGGCCCTGACCACCACCATTCTACCTTCCATCTATGAATCTGACTGCTCTACAGACCCCTACAAGCGGAATCACGTAGTATCAGTCCTTTTGTGTCTGGCGTATTTCATTTAGCATAATGTCCTCCAGGTTCAACCACGTGATACCAAGTGCCCTTCCCAAGGCTGAATAATGTTCCATGGTATGTGTGTGCCACATTTAGCTTATCCCTGCTGACAGACAAGGGGGTTCCCACCTTTCAGCTACTGAGAACAGTGCTGCATGAACAGGGGTGAACAAGGACCTGCTTGAGTCCCTGCTTTCAATTCTTTTAGGCAGGAAGCAACATACATTTTTTTTTTTCTTAATACCTAAACTATCTTCCTTTCCAATCAAAGTTTATTGTTAAGTGTTTTGGGAATTTCAAGGAGGTGCCAGGCTGACTGCATGAGCTGAATAGCTGTGGTTTACTTCCTATAGGACGATTGTGCCCACCCACACGTGATGGTACT